TGGTTGGCTGCTTCTGCCCTTCTGAGCCGAGGCTCTAAACCCTAATTTAGGGTTTAGCCGGGGTTTCCAGGCGGGAGCCTGGAAATCTCGGGAACTAGGGTTTATACGGTTCGGGCCATCATTTTGAGGGTTTAGGGTTTAGGGTTTAGGGTTTGCGGACCGGGCTTCAGGGCTAGGGTTTTGGAGCCCCCTCTTGAATCGAAGCTAACGGTGAAACGCCAAACCCCCATTTATATTTTTAGGGTTTAGGGTTTAGGGTTTAGGGTTTGGACTGGCGGCAGCATTTGCCTTCATATGCGGAACTGCAGCCACCGGCAGATATCTAAATAAAAGAAAATATAAATACAAATACAAATATAAATATAAATACAAATATAAATACAAATATAAATATAAGTACAAATACAAATATAAATATAAATATAAATATAAATATAAATACAAATATAAATATAAATACAAATATAAGTATAAATATAAATGAAAAACATAATTTATAAATTCCTCAATCTGAATACCTCAAAGTAGACTCCTGTCTAGCTCTAAGTACTCGTCTATATATTATATAAAGATACTTATATTTGTATATAAACAAAGATATATATATATAAAGCCACTAATATATATATATATATATATATATATATATATATATAAAGATACTAATATTTGTATATAAGTAAGATATATATATTATCTATATGTATATATATATATATACATCTTAATGTCTATATAAATATATGTGCGCAAATATGTGGCCATAAACGTATAAATCTATAAATAGATTTATAAAACTATTAATAAACATAAAAGCTGCATAAACCTGAATGCATGCAAACAAATAAAGTCCTCAAAGTTTCCAATTCGAAATTTGGCGGAGTCAAAGAAGCGCGGGGTGTACGTACACCTCAGCCGCTGGGGTGTACGTACACCCCGTCCTTGGGGTGTACGTACACCGCAGCTGCACCCGAATAAAGCTTTTTCTTCGCCATCTATAAATAGATTTATAAAACTATTAATAAACATAAAAGCTGCATAAACCTGAATGCATGCAAACAAATAAAGTCCTCAAAGTTTCCAATTCGAAATTTGGCGGAGTCAAAGAAGCGCGGGGTGTACGTACACCTCAGCCGCTGGGGTGTACGTACACCCCGTCCTTGGGGTGTACGTACACCGCAGCTGCACCCGAATAAAGCTTTTTCTTCGCCTCCCAGCTCTTCAAAATTAAAAAGCAAACAAACATCCAAAGCGCAACAAAAAACTTCTTCTGGGAAGCATCCGCAGTCCTGGGGGCCCCCAGGGGGGCCCCCAGCACTCTAGGGGGCCCCCAGGGGGCCCCCCAGCACTCTAGGGGGCCCCCAGGGGGGCCCCCAGCACTCTAGGGGGCCCCCAGGGGGGCCCCCAGCACTCTTGGGGGCCCCCCCGCGCTCATGGGGGCCCCCCCTACCCAAAGGGGCTTCAAACCCTCCAGAGGGGCCCCCCTGCACTTCGGGGGGCCCCCTATGCTTTGGGGGGCCCCCAAGGGGGCCCCTGCTTGCTTCAGTCTTTCCTGCCCTTGAAGGGGCCCCCTGGTCTGGGGGCCCCCTAACCGGGGGCCCCCCTGCCCTGGGGGCCCCTCAAGGGGGGCCCCCCATCCTGGGGGCCCCCCACTGGGGGCCCCCCGGAGTCTGGGGGCCCCCCTTAAAAGGGTACTGGTGGGTCTGTGAGGGGACTTAAGAAAAGGCTAAGAAGCAGCGGTTTGCTGCTTCTAGCTGCCGCCCGCTGCTGCTGCTGCTCGCTGCTGCCGCCGGCGCCTGCTGCTGCTGCTGCTGCTGCTGCTGCTGCTGCTGCTGCTGCTGCTGTCGCCAGGGGTGAACAGCCGCACGAACAGCCGGTGCAGCCAGCGAACCCACTTTATGAAAAAGTTAACAGCAGAAGCAGCAAAAATAATCCGAGGAGCAGCAGCAAGCAGCAGCAGCAGCGGCTTGTCTTTGAAGCGGGGGGGGCCCCCCCGGGGCCCCTCCAGCAGCTGCAGCAGCTCCACCACGAGGTTCAGCAGCAAGTACAGCAGCAGCGCAGCAGCAGCAGCACGCCGCGCAGCTCGCTCTCTGCTGCGCGCAGTCTCTCGCCTGCTGCTGCTGCTGCTCAGCTCCGCCTCGGGGGCCTCTTCCCCGTGCTGCGCTGCTGCTGCAGCAGCGGGGGCCCCCAGGGGCCCCTGGGGGGCCCCCCGGGCCTCCCCGGGGTACCCTCGGGGGGCCCCGTACGCCTCCGCCGGCCCGGGGGGCCCCCCGGGGCCCCCGTACGGGTCAGCGAACCCCTGGGGGGCCCAGTAGGGGCCCCCAGGGGGCCCCTGGGGGGCCCCGTAGCCCCCCAGGGCACCCGGGGGGCCCCCGTAGCCCCCCAGGGGCCCCCCGGGGGCCCCCGCAGGCCCCAAGTAGGGGCCCCCGGGGCCCCCGGGGGCCCCGGGGGCCCCGGGGGCCCCCGGGGGCCCCGAAATGGGGGGAGGGTACAGAGCTGAAGTGTCTCTGGGGTACACTGGAGAAGGGGGGTAAGCAGCAGAGCCGTAGTGGCCCTCTTGGGGCCCCACAGTGGCCACGGGGGGCCCCCCTGCGGTCATGACGGCCACCTCGGGGGGCCCCTCTTGGAGCGGATAAGAGAGGGAAAAGCCCGAAAAAAGGGAAATAGTTGCTGCTGCTGCTGCTGCAGCAAAAAAGGGGGAAAAAGGAGGGTTTAATGGACTCATTGGAGCTGCGGGAAGGCGAAAAACGGCGAAGTTCAAGAACGAGCAGCAGCAGCGGCGGCCCCCGGCCTCCGACGAGCGGAGATCAGCGCAAACCCTGGAAATAAGAAGCAAAAAGGAACTTGAAAGAAATAAATTGGAAATAAATGAAAAAAAGAAAAAAATTTGCAAGAAATAAACGGCAGAGGGGCTCAGAGACGAGCCCGGGAAGCCCACTGGTGTCGCCGCGGGAAGCACGCCCACTGCCTGTTCTCCGGGAAAGCAAAGGGAAATTTATTTCGTTTTGCAAATTCGAAAAGAATTTTAAACAAAGAAAACTGCAGCAGTTTCATCGAGCGGTTCATTTCACGGGAAGCTGGTCCTGCGGCGCTGAAGATCACTGGAAGCTGCTGCTGCTGCTGCTGCTGCTGCTGCTGCTGCTGCTTCGGCTCTGCGCGCCCGCCCGCTCGATCTGCAGCAAAAGCGAAAAGAATTCATTTTTTAATTAAATTAAATTTATTCAAAGTGGAAATGAAGCCGCTTTCGCCCGCTCAGCGAGAAAATCGAGCGGGCGCGCCGGGAAACCGGAAAGCAGCCACTGCTGACCCACTCCCGGTCTTGAATGTTTCGGCGCTTTCGGCGCTTTTGCCCCTTCTCGCTTTTCTTTTTGTTTCTTTCGACTAAAATGAATAATTAAAGAACAAATGCTGCGAAGAAATTCGAAGTGCGCGGCGGATCACCGCCGGATCGGCGGCCAACGCGAAAAAGTTGAACGAGAGGACATCTCCGGGAAACTCGGCTCTTTTGCAAAATTAAAAAAAGCTGCACACTTTAAATCAATTTCCCCTTCTTTTAAGGGCCCCCAGCTTCCACTTGGGGGCCCCCGAGGCCCTTTTCTTGCGTTTTTTCTTTTTGGGCAAAAAGCGCTCTTTCGAGGCCTCAGCCCCGTGTAGATACACTCCAGAAAGCCCTCGAGGTGAAAGTAAATCAAAAGCAGATATATTTAATATATTTATTTATATATATATATATAAATATGCATAAAATGCTTCTCTTGAGGAGGAAACAAGGAGCCGCAGCCGCCGGCCTCTTAGTATCTCTCTTTCGTTTTTTCTCTTCTCTTTCTCTCAACTCATTTATATATTATATATAAATATATTTCAAAGGTGCATGCAATATATATGCATGCTATATATATAATATATATAATATATATATTATATATATATATATTTATATTATATATATTATATATATATTATATATATATTATATATATATAATATATATATATATACATATAAGTTGCATGCAAATGCATGCATGCAAGTGCTGCTTTTTGCTGCCAACTTCGATTTCCCATAAAGCCCTTAAGGGCCCCGCACTGGCAGCAGCAGCGGCTGCGGAAGCAAAGGGTTTTAGAAGAACTAAGCAGCAGCAGCAGCAGCAGCTGCTGCTGCTGCTGCTGCTGCAGCTCCTGGAGCAGCAGCAGCAGCCTCTGCAGCAGCAGCAGCAGCAGCAGCAGCTCCTGGATCGAATCCGCCCCAAAATGCAGCAGCAAAACGAACAGCTCCGCAGCAGCAGCGAAGAGCCCGAGGGTCACTTGGGGCTCTGCGCAGCGCCACTGAGAAAACCTCCTAGGGTTTAGGGTTTAGGGTTTAGGGTTTAGGGTTTAGGGTTTAGGGTTTGCGGTCTAGGGCCGCGGGAAGCTCCAAAAACACCGCCCGAGTCTGCAGAGGGCGGTGTTTAGGGTTTTTGCCCCTAGACCGCCCTAGCACCAAACCCTAAACCCTAAACCCTAAACCCTAAACCCTAGGAGGTTTGCTCATTTAGAGTGGCTAAAAGCCCTTTTAAAAGAAATAGAAAGAATTAAAATAAACAAAAAACGCCTTTTGGTCTTTAAAAACCCTTTTAAAAGAAATAAAAAGAATTGAAATAAACAAAAAGGCCTTTGGATGTTTTAAAACTCTTTCAAAAGAAATAAAAATAATTAAAATAAACAGAAAAGAATTTTTTTTTTGAAAACCCTTTTAAAAGAAACAAAGGGGAGTTGCTTTCTGAAGTCCTTGGGAGTTTGAATTGAAAAGGAAGAAATAAAATAAAAATAAATAAAAGAATAAAAATAAATAAAAATAAATTAAAATAAACAAAAAATATTATAATTAAAAGCTGGAGTTGAACAAGTGCTGCACACTCGACGGCTTCCAGTACAAGTCGAGCCTGGGGAGCGCTGCTGCTGCTGCTGCTGCTGCTGCTGCTGCTGCTGCTGCTGATGCGCAAAAGGCCAATTTGAAATTTCGAATTAAATTTAACTTCGAATTTTCGCAAAGACGAAACCGCTGGGCTTCTGCTGCGTGTGCATGCCCGCGCGCTTGCTGCTGCAGCAGCAGCAGCAGCAGCAGCAGCAGCAGCAGCAGCAGCAGCAGGGCTGCGGTGGTGTTCATGCGGGATTCGGGACTCGGGGGGGTTTTCTGAGTTCCTTTTTTCGATTTTAATGTTTTATTTCTTTTTAATTCATTAAATGTTTGCAAACTGGCGCAAAAAAAAGCAATTTGCTGCGCCAAGTGCTGCGAATCGCCGCTGTCGCTCAGTGCTGCGGACACCGCGCGCAGCTGGCGCTGCTGCTGCTGCTGCAGTTCAACTTTGCGAGTTCTGCGACTTGGCTCTATTTTCCGCTCAATAGTTCATTTTAATCTTTTATTTTTTAATTAATTTATTATTATTTGTTTTATTTCGCAAGTTCGAGGCGCTGGCGCCGAAACAATTTGGTTTTGCTGCTGCTTTCCGCTGCCCGCCGCTGCTGCTGCGCTGCAGTGTCTGCGCTTTCCAGCTTCTTCTGCCAAGTTGCTGCTTCAATTCCCCTTTTTAGGGTTTAGGGTTTGCTGCAGTGTCTGCGCGGGCAAGGGACCTCGATGGTCCGTCTGAAGCAGCTGCTGCAGCGCGCTCCTTGCACTTTGGCTTGATGCGGCAGCAGCAGCAGCAGCTGCAGCAGCAGCAGCAGCAGCCAGCGTGAGTTAGCCCTCTCAGCAGAAAGAGCTGCAGCCGCTGCTGCGCAGCAGCAGCAGCAGCCACGGCCTTCTCCGCGGAGCCTCACCGCCAGAAAGCAGCGGCCGCTGCTGCTGCTGCAGCAGCAGCTGCTGCCGACTGTCCCGCGGCAGCTGCTGCAGCCGCACCAGCAGCCGCAGCAGCAGCAGCCGAAGCAGCAGCAGGAGCAGCAGCAGCAGCAGCAGCAGGATGGCGGCGCAGGGTCCAGGGGCGGCGGAGGCGGCGCCTGCTTCGGCCGGGGGGCCGCAGGGCTCGGCTTCCCCCGCAGCAGCAGCAGCAGCAGCAACAGCAGCAGCAGCAGCAGCAGCAGCAGAGGCGGAAGCAGGGGCTGCAGACGCAGAGCCTTCAGTCTCGATTCAAAGCCAAGTGGACCTGCTGGACACCACTTCGACCTTTTTGAAGAAGCAAGGAAGACGGGCTGGAGTTGGTTTGAAGAGAGTTGCTGCTTGGGTGCTGCTGCTGGCGCTTGTTGCTGCTGCTGCGCTGCAGCAGCGCGCGAGCAGCAGCAGCAGCAGCGCGCTGCACCCCGCGGCGCTGAAGGACCTGCTGCTGGGGCTGCAGCCCGAAGGCGCTGCTGCGGAGGGCAGCGCGAGCTCGGAGCTGCTGCTGAGCCTGGAGGGGCGGCCTGAAGGCGCAGCAGCAGCAGCAGCAGCAGCAGCAGCAGCAGCAGCAGCAGCAGATGCAGAGGCCGCGGCAGCGGCGGAAGCGCGCGGCGCGGCGCTGACGCAGGAAACCACGCAGCTCTCCGGCCACTCCTCTCAGGGGTCGGAGGGAAAGAAAAGAAAAAGACAAAAAGGAAAAAGTAATGAAAGAAGTAAAGAAAAAAGTAAAGAGTTGAAGCCGTGGCCAGTGTTTGCAGTGCCGCTGGGGCTGCGCAGACACCCGGCGGCTGCGCGGCCGCCCGCGCCCGCGCCGCCGCCCAAAACGGAACTCCGCGCGTTTTCTTTCTTCGGAAAACTCCACAAGAAGTCCAAAAAGGAAAATGGAGAAGAGAAAAGTGTCCAAAAAGGGAAATCGAGCGCGAAGTCGGCGAGATCGGGCAAGGCCGGGAAGGCGGCGCGGGAGAAGCGGCGCGCGGCCGCCGCGGGCGTGTCAGTGGGGGTTTCCGGCGACATCGCGCGTCTTTGGAACGCCAAACAAAAGGGAAAACGCAAAGAAATAGTAATTGACGAAAAATACGAGCCCGAGGCGGCTCAGGAAGCCGAAGATTCCGAAGATTCCCTGGAAGTCGACGGCGCCGCCTCCGAGCTCTCCGAGGCGGAGTCCGGCTGGACCACCGAGGGCACGGAGTTCGAGTGCAGCGGCTACTCTTCGGACGAGGGAATTAAAAAGCATTATTTGGAAGCAGCAGCAAGAAGCCGGCGGCCAGCAGCAGCAGCAGCAGCAGCAGCAGCAGCGGGCGCGCGCCGCAGCCGCGCGCCGCTGCGCAACGCCCCCGACTCGCTGCTGGCAGCAGCAACGCCGGTTTTTGTTGCAGCAGCAGCGCCTTATCCGGAAGCAGCAACAGCAGAAGAGCGGCTGGCGAACGAAGCAGCAGAAGCAGCAGCATTTATCCAGGAGCGGGCGGGCGAAGCAGCAGCAGCAGCGTTCAAAGTGCTGCTGCTGGAGCCGCTGCAGCAGCAGCAGCAGCAGCAGAAACTCTCCACTGCCACTCTCAGCCTCGAACTAATGAAACTGGAGAAGCAAAAGCTGCTGCTGAATGCTTTGAAGCTTTTTAATCTCCGGAGAAGAAGAGAAGAGGCGCTGGCGCAGCTGCTGTCGATGGAGCAGACGTTTGCTGCGCTGCACGGGCTCTGCTGCAGCAGCAGCAGCAGCAGCAGCAGCAGCAGCAGCGTGCTGCTGCCCGAGCAGGTCGCGCGGCTGCTCGACAGCGGCCAAGTCCCCCTCGACCTCCCCAGAGAGGCCGCGCTGCTGGCAGCAGCAAAGAGCAGCTGCGAGCTGCTGCTGCAGCAGGAAGCCGCGCTGCTGCTGCTGCTGCAGTACGACGCAGTGGCCCTGGGGGCCCACTTGTTTGCTGCTGAAGCCATGGTCCGCACTGACGCAGCAGCAGCAGCATGGAAGCAAAAGGTGCAGCAGCTCCGAGACATTGGAGCAGCACTAAGTGAGCCTTTGCTGCTGCTGAGTTCTTCTTTGGTGCAGCAAATGCCTGCTGTTGCTGCTACGGTGGTGCAGGCGCAGCAGCAAGCAGCAGCAGCACCCCACACTCCTGCTGCGCTGCTGCAGCAAGCTGCTGCGCTCCTCGCGCTCCGCAAAGAAGCCAATTTTCATCTCCGCTGCTTCCTCAACCCGCAGCAGCAGCAGCAGCAGCAGCAGCAGCAGCAGGGGGGCCCCTCTGCTGCTCTGGGGGCCCTCAAAAGGGCCTTCGATCTGCACGATTTGGCCGTGCAGCTGCAGCAGGAGGTCTTGGGGGCCCCCCAGGGGCCCCCCCTCCCGGGCCTCGCAGAAGTGGAGCCCTGGTTCATTTTGCTTTTTTGACTTCTTTCCAAATTTGTTCTTTTTGCTTTTATTTTATTTCTTTTTCCCAACTTCTTCTCTCCTTCCATTTGCTGCTGCTGCTCCGCTTTCTCCCGCGCTTCCTGGCCTTCGAACGAGCCTCCTGCTGCTGCTGCAGCAGCAGCAGCAGCAGCTGCAGCAGCAGCTGCAGCAGCAGCTGCAGCAGCAGCTGCAGCAGCAGCAGCAGCAGCAGCAGCGGACGAATTTGTTTCTTTTGTGCTTCATTTGTGAGGGGCCAGCGGCTGGCGGCAGCTGCCTTTGTAGAGGACCTTTACTTCTAAGGCTCGGGGGCTCGAGGGTTTAGGGTTTAGGGTTTAGGGTTTGCTGTGGCGCGCATGCTGGACAAACTGCAGCGGCGCAAACAATGCAAGTCTTTTATGAATGTTTTCAACCAATATGCATCCATCGAATTTGCTGCAAAGCAACAGCGCTAGGGTTTAGGGTTTAGGGTTTAGGCTTTAGGGTTTAGGGTTTAGGGTTTAGGGTTTAGGGTTTAGACGGTGGGGGGCAGGGGGAGCGTCGCTGCAGCAGCAGGTAGATCAGGGAGAGTGGTGCTGCTGAGGGTTTCTGCTGCTGCAGCAGCAGCAGAAGTGAACGTAGGGTTTAGGGTTTAGGGTTTAGGGTTTAGGGTTTAGG